AGAGGCAAGGTAGTTGATCTTGCATATGAAGCTTCTGTGAATCTAAGAACAAGAGGAACAACAACATCAGCGGAGATTCTGCATTTCAAAAACCCCTGCAAAACAATATGATGGTATTGCTTATTAACCTGGAGCTCACACCCTTTCACAATGCATTCTTGAATAAATTAACTAACTTCCAGGACACATAACTATATCAGAGGTATGCTACCTCTGATAGTAGGTGTCCTGATGGAAGTGAGTTAATTTATAAGGATTATAAATTTATATATATATATATATATATATATATATAAATAATTTATAAGGAATTACTCAATGATAGATTACACAAACATTTGAGTGTTAGACCATCATGGACAATGCGTATACAACAACAACCCACATTAACCCAGACAAGCCAACAAAATATATACTGCTCAATTGTACAGCACTGCATTTATTATTCATTTCAAAATGGTACGCATCATAATAGATTTTTTGAACAGTATCAAAACACATTTTTTCAACATCAATGCCACATTACGTAGTCAGAGATTGGTTGCATTATTTATGAAAGTATAATCAACATTGTTATGATTGAAGAATTTGCCCTTCATTTTGTAAGTCCAAGACTTGCTTTCCTGCCCCGCTGAAGGAAAAAGTCAGAGCATTAAATTGGTTACAGCTAAGGAACAGCAGAAATACATTGAATGGCAACAATTCAATCAATGCCTATGAAATTTTGGCTCCAAAACTAAATATACATTTTGTTTAATAGTTTGAGATTTGCCTATATACATGCCAATAAGCAGCGCATACTTCAGTTATCAAGAGAAGCTTTTTCAATTGCACAATTTCCATTTCAAAATTTCTTCATGGCCTTGGGATTTTCTCATGCAGTCAAATCTAGGAATTACTTAATTTTTCAAAGGTATATAAAATGGTACTACATACATATAGCAATAAATACGTCACATTATTTCACACTCACACTAAATTTCAATCAGCCTTCTTTCCCCACAAGCCAACATCACAAATCCTCATGCCTTCTACTTAGTGAGCATGGTGCTGGTGAACTGGAACTTCAAACAAACTCATCAGTAAAGTAATAAGGTATTTTTCAAAGTGACATCTATCCTACAAGGGGATAACTATAATCATGCACACCTGACACAATTTACAGGAGCCGCCATGTTACAAAAAATGTACATCTGTGGCTCCCTCTGGCTGCCAAGTTTATAAAGTCTCTAGCATGGCCATGGTCATTAGGGTTCCTCATGGCCTGAAATCACCCACACCCCATTTTTTTGTTGGGCTTTGTTAATTTGGAAATTCTTCATTAAATTCTTTCCTACACATTCTTCAGCAATAAATACACTATAAATGAGCATAGATTTCACGCATTGACATAAATGCACTGAAAAACTACTTTGATGTGTGGTGGAATGTTGCATGAGTCAAAATGTATTCTTTTTAACATTCCTATTATTGGCTTATTGTTCAAACAATAGTCTTAAGAACTTCTATCCTTTCAATAATACAGGCAGTGCCATATAATTGATAATGTCTCCTCAATACTAAATTTTTAAAACCTATATAGCTGCTATTGCTGCACACTCTTGTCCATCTCAACCCATTAAACCTGATTTTCAAGCACTTCCAAAGCTATAATGCCTTGCTCCAAGTTCAAACCACATTTATGTTTCACATTTGGGAAACCTACAGAACAACCCATCTTATCATTTTACAAATATATGGACAAATAATTTTTTCTTTGTACTATTAGTTAATTTCTATAGTTGGTATACTTGCTACACTGCTTCCTGCATAAGGGATGTATTCCCGATTCTTGAAGTCACTCATGCACAACCGCAGGAGAGAGAGTGTTGGGTGCCGGGCGTGAGGGGATGGGGGGCACAGGGGAGAGGAGTTCTGACGGCGTGCGATCCGGCTCCGGCGAGAATGTGCCTCACCCATTAAATGGCCCACAACTCTGTGCTGCTCGCCGCCTTAACAGTAGCAGCTGCCATGGCGCTTCTCATGTATTTCTGCAGAAAACAGGGACCGCATCCTGCTCATTAAATGGCCCGGTGTGGGCGGCACAGCGTACTCCCCCCAAAATCGTACTCCAGGAGTGCACCCTGCCTAGGCAGGATGCACTCCAGGAGTACACCCTACCTAGGCAGGGTGTACTCCAGTGTGCACTATGCCGTCCGGCGGGTCTATTCAAATCCGCGGAGTGAAGTTCCATGGTGAACACATGCAGTAGTTCTTTCAACGAAATTCAGAGGAGAGCCAATTCCATCTTGTTGCAACGAATCTTGTTCATGCTTCGGAGAAATGTCTTCTTCAGTCCCTGCCCCAACATTCTTATTTAAATTTATTTTTGATGAATTTTCGTATATGACAAAGCATNAGATACCACTGCATAAGTGATCACTGCAGAAGAGCCTCTGCTGAATCGCACTCCGCGGATGTGGACTAATCCTCCTGCAGGGGGAGTACGCTGTACCTGGGGAGTACGCCCTGCCTGCTACGCCGGTGAAACGAAAGATATTGTGAAAACTGTACCTCGTGCGATAAACGTGCTTCAGAAAGTTTTTCGTACGTGTGTCCTGAAACATTGTTACAGTCACGGTTACCCTGTTCTGATGAATGATGAGGTTATCCACAATGAAGTCGGTTCTGCAGTATTGGAAAAATGGGAATCGATTTTGTGTGAGGACGAAGAGAAGCGTCATTCGCGCTTGCGTTGAGGAGTCGCTGGATCATTCCGCGTGATTTAAGAGGACGATGATTCATTTCGAATCGCTTCCTAAGCCTTTTCGATGTCTTGCGGTTTCGTTCATGTGGAGGTGCCTTTTCAAACGTTGAGATGATATCTGAATTCTTCATGTCCTAGGCAAGCTGAGATAGAAGCGATAATGGCAGATCCAGATGTGCTTTACGTTGCATCCACGGGAATAAGTTTGAACGAAAGGTTAGTATTTTTCTTTTCAAACGGCTTGGATTGATCCACGAGTCACCGGCGCGGATGTGCCTTAGTGACATAGGTGATCACGTCGTGAAATTTCTCGATGGACCTTCGTGGTGAACATGCCGTCCTTTATCCTACTTTCCTTTCAATATTGATGGGCCAACAGGTTTTTGATGCTGCAAGCGAGTCGGGATCGGTCTGCGGTTAGGAAGCCCAGAGGCGCTCTAGCTTCAACCGGCAATCGATTGAGCAATGCTAGCTCCACAGATAATTTGGCGCTGCTGCAAGTATTGGCGAGAGATCCGGCAGTCCGAAGACAGTTTCTCGGCAACAGTAAAGCGCGGGCTCAGCAGAAGAAGGTATTTTGAATGACGGAAGGTCCTGTTGTGGATGTTCATCATGTTGTTTTCCGTGTAGAATGTCAAACAGCGACTGGGCGTTAAAGGTCGACTTGGCCAGCGTCTCAAAGATCGCCTTGGTGATACAATGCAAGTTCGCGGTCGTGGTGCTGTTAGAGGTGCATCGCGGGGGACTCCCCGTGGGACTGCTAGAGGTCGTGAGTAGAATCGAAAGATGCTTCGCTGAAGCGATACTTTTCGTGCTGAAGGTGATTTTCGTATTACCCGGTTTTCTATAATTGTTCCAGGAGGTTTTGGAAGTCGCGGAGGCTACAACCAGACAGCGGAACAGAAGTCGAATTGTGAGTGCTGCCATTGATTCATTTTCACGTAGGATGGGAGAGATTTGCAGAAAAATCATCCTGCAACGAACCCCGAGGAAAAATCACTTGAGAACTATTTCTTCCTATCACACTTACGTCTCTATTTTTGAGCTTCTGTCTTGTTTTCTTGTGTATTGGATAATTTCGGAAGTGCTTAGTGGTGAACCTTTTTCAGCAAAAGATCGTTACTGCTGTACATAACGAATAAGCAAGCCTCACGTTCGCCATAAATCGTGTTCTGACGGAGGTATGTTTCGATCCATTTCCAGAATGATTTAAATTTTTCTAAAACTAAAGAGACGAACAAGTGGTCATCAAGTGATATTTTGGACTCTTCTTGTGCGGATTGCTTTTCTCCGGACATCTGCGTTGTACATCACGTATTCAGTGATAGCAGTTGAATCTCGATTACTCGAATCTTCCTAGGTCGAATACCGGCTTGTTGCAAGTTCCTGTCGGAAATCCCTGAGAAATAAAGCATTGAAAACCCCCCTAATTCGAAGAAATTCCCCCTCAAATCTTCCTGCGTCAAATTTTCTGTATATCTTCTGCTTATTAATTTATTGACGCAGGAAAGAGAAGAGCAATAAAAATGTAACTTAATGTGTTTTGAAAGGAAGTGATGGACTAATCTGGCGAATGAACCCTTGCTTCAAACTTCGACATCCTGTCAACTCTTCCAAGAAGCAATTTGATGCCCTGAATATCACCAATTACAATTTCCTGTAATTCTTTCCTCTTTCTCCCAGGAAAAATGCTCGTTTCCCTGTCTCGAAACCTCTCTAACTCGATTATTCATGCCGGTCCCTTACATTTTGACGTGAAGAGGGTTGACCTCATTTTGTGTAGAGATGTAGTAAGTGCTTATCGATTTGAATGAAATTCCTTGTGCGGAAAAGACCAAAGTTTTATTCGTCTGTTCGTTCTTTTGTTTCTTCTAGTGTGGCGGGGGAAAGGGTGAGTACGGTTATCATTGAGCTTGCCTCAAAAAGCTGTGGAGCTTGATCATTGCTTCATTGCAACAGTAGAGCACAACAGGTCACAAGAGGAGCAAACACGAATCGTGGAAGAGGACGAGGTCGAGGAAGAGGTGCACGAGGTCGTGGTGGGGCGACGAGCAAAGTTTCCCGAGAAGACCTCGACACGCAACTCGACGCATACATGACCTCTACGGACAATGACGTTGTTATGTAAACTTCGGCGTAAATCTGTTGCCTTGTCCCAGATTTTTTCAAGTGATGGTTAGCCGTCGGACAATTCTCACTTTGGGTAACGCCTTAATTTTGGGCATATCGTCGGAAGAAATGAGTAGCTCTTGGGGAAGTGACACAGCCGAGCTTGAAAAATTCCAGGATCCGCGTGCTTGCTTTTGTGAACTGCGTTGTTACTACGGTGAAATTGTTTTGACGTGCTTCACGGTTAATCCTTTTTTCGTTTGAATATGATGAATTTATGGCGTTTGTACAAGGTGTGAATGAAGAACGTGGGCCTTTTGTGTTTTTTGAAGCGTTGATCTGTTCTGATGCATCGTGTACATGTTGTGTATATCTTTATTTTTCAAGATGGACGAAGAACAGGCGTCAGGTTTATCCTGCGCCTTGGATATGTTTAAAGAAGCTGATGAAGTGAACGCCTTGATATCGAACGTTGGGAAGGATGGTGGAAGTAGGCACGAGGCAGACCTAGACAGGTGCGTTACAATCTCATCGAATATTAATTTGCATTTACAGTAATTGTGGACTATCCGTGACCTTAGGTTCACTTACATCGTGAATCAGTACCGAGAACAGCCACATTTGCTGGATTCGAGCTTGCAACACTTCCTTTCATCCCTTGTGACAATCGTGCGATCTCCTGAAACACTGGATAAAAATCGTGAGCAAGCGTTTGAGCTGATTTACGCGCTCATTTCCGTCCGTGGCTTCAAACAAGCCGTGAGGCACTTGCCACACGAAGTGGCCGATTTGGCCCCTGTTCTAGAAATACTAGAACGCGATGTGGCTTCTCCTGGGGACTGGAAAACTCCGTATGTGTCTTTGTTGTGGCTTTCGATCATAATCTTGTTGCCCTTTCCGATGGGAAGATTGGATGCTGGTGTTCCCGGAGAAACTTCTGTGATGGACCGGTGAGTTTTATTGAATCCAATAAGGTGTGAGTGGTATTCTTCGTGAGTGCTTGAAAAGTTTCTAGTCACCGTAATGTCGATTTTGCTGTTAAAATCGATAAATTGTATATCAATTAAGTGTGTAACTGGAGTTCATGTTGGAGAAAGTGGGTTCATTCCATTAAAATTGCTCATCGTTACTTCGCAGACTTGTGACTGTGCTGAAGCATTACTTGACCTCTCATCAAAGTACGGCACTAGCAGCTGGTTTCCTGGCTTCAAAGTTTCTAACACGGAAGGACGTTCGTGAAAAGCATTGGGATTCTTTCTATCAGTGGGCGGTGGAAACTGTCAAGAATGTGAAAAACCGTGAGTTCGTGCGATTAGGAGCTCTCAGGGCCTTGAATCAAGTCTTCAAGCACGGACAAAGAGAAGATCTTTTCGAAGTCGCCCCTGGACTTCTGAGAGAAGTGGTGAATCTGGAATTCCACACCCAGCCCTTAGCCTTGAGGCTCATGAGTTTGAAGCTGGTGCAGAGAATCGGTAAGTCTGGTATCTTAGCTGATTTTGTTGTTGTTGAAAATTTGGATAAGTTATCGTTGGTCTGATGTTTCCCTCACTCTGTGTCTCCATTTATGTCTTAATTTGTCTCTGGATCATAATGGTTGGATTATATTAGTTGAGATACTTTCAGTTGAATAACTTACCCTTTCTCCGCGAATACAAGCACCCCCTAGAATTTTCATGCACAAAATTGAAGTTCCGTTAACAGGTAAATATAAGCACACGCTTTCGTGGTGCTCTAATTTTCCCGGAACCAAAGATTTATGACCAAATTTAGGTTTTCCCTGGAGAAGGAAAAACTGTGTCATACAACCCTTGTCCTTCCAATTCCGTCAGTGACTCATGCATGAAGAGTGCTGAAAGCTGACGACGTCTTGGTTATTTTCAAATTCAATTCCAGAAGAACTGAAAAAAAGTGTTAGATCGTTTCTTGGGCAGCAAACAAGAAGATTTTTTTCATGTACAGTAGACGCGAATTTCATATTCGCGTAAAATATGTGATTGTAATTTTAGAAAAGCCCTATAGTTTTTGAACTTCTTGGTGCTTGTATTTGCATGAATAATGTACAATTCTAACCATATCTATCACACCGATTTTTTTAGGCTAGTTGTTGAATAATTGTTCGGGTTACTTCTGTTGTCATGCGTTAGATGTGTCAGACCGAAGTTTTCTGAGACGCGTGAAAACAGCTTTCAGACTTGTGTAATCCATCGAGTGCGTGCATTCGTATTTGAAGCGAATGTTAAAATTGTTTTCATTTAATTGTCGATAAGGTTTGGTGTTCCTGAAACCAAAGGTGGCCAAGTGGAGGTATCAGCGCGGTTGTCGTTCGTTGATGGAAACACTTGGCACAAAGACAGACGATACTCAAGTCAATGATCTTGCTAAAAATGACGACCTTTCCGCCATGGATGACGATGAAATGTACGAGATTCCCGATGACGTTGAGGAAGTTATTGATCAATTGCTGATGGGACTGAAGGATTCCGATTCGCAAGTTCGGTGAGTTCCTCATCCACTTGTGATCAATTCAATTTCGTTCTTACATCGTGTTGAAAAGAAACCCCTTTTTTTATTTAGTTGGTCTAGTGCTAAAGGAATTGGCAGAGTGACGGGGCGGTTGCCGAAGTATTTTGCGGATGACGTGATTGGGTCGCTGCTTGATTTCTTCTCTTTGAAGGAATCTGACTCTGCCTGGCACGGTGGCTGCTTAGCGCTTGCGGAATTGGGTAACTTTATTCTCGTATTGAAGCTATAATATTTTCTCCAGAGGTCATTGAATGCAAAACCGAAAACTTGTTTTCAGGTCGAAGAGGTTTTTTGTTGCCCTCAAGATTGCCGGAAGTCGTGAAAGTCGTTTTGGACGCGTTGGTGTTCGACGAGGCTCGGGGTTACTATTCGGTAGGAATCAACGTTCGAGATGCTGCTTGTTACGTGGTTTGGTCATTTGCACGAGCCTATGATCCGGCGGAATTGGCGCCGTTTGTGAACGACATCGCCGCCCGATTGCTAGTCGTGTGCTGCTTCGATAAAGAAGTTAGTTGCTCGAAATTTTGTTCTGTGATTTGCTGTAGAATTTCTGGTGCGTTCATCGATTTAAAATCTTGCTGGGCGATTTATGTGGTACAGTAAAATCTCGTTACAACAAACTCCTGGGGACCAGAGAAAAAATTCGTTATAACGAAAAATTCGTTGTAATGAGATTGCTTGATTTTGTTACAGAAAAAACATTTCACCCTCTTTAAAAGCATTTTATTGCTTGAAATAATCAGTAATTTTGATCTGTACACTTTTCTTCACCACACACTTCACTAAGAAATCTTCCACTTGCTTCAGCAGCATGAAAACATGCTCATTTCCCTCTTCTGAAGATAATAAGTAATTTTTCACTTCTTGTAATCCTTTGAAGGCTTGTGCAGAAGTTGTTTTCTCTTCTGTAATTGACACGGAAGTCGTGAAAGTCGTTTTGGACGCGTTGGTGTTCGACGAGGCTCGGGGTTACTATTCGGTAGGAATCAACGTTCGAGATGCTGCTTGTTACGTGGTTTGGTCATTTGCACGAGCCTATGATCCAGCGGAATTGGCGCCGTTTGTGAACGACATCGCCGCCCGATTGCTAGTCGTGTGCTGCTTCGATAAAGAAGTTAGTTGCTCGAAATTTTGTTCTGTGATTTGCTGTTGAATTTCTGGTGCGTTCATCGATTTAAAATCTTGCTGGGCGATTTATGTGGTATTATTAAATGTGGTTGCCTACAGATCAAAGGAAGAGTTGCAGCGTCTGCAGCTTTTCAAGAAAATGTTGGTCGGGTTGGGAATTTCCCGCACGGAATAGACATTTTGACGACTGCTGATTTTGTGTCTGTGGCGAATCGAAAAAATGCATTTTTGTCCATAAGGTGAGATTTTGAACTATTTTTCGGCAGTAATTTTTAATATCGATTACATTTTTATTGTGTTGCAGCTCATTCATTGCTGGGTTTGAAGAGTATCGACGTCCGCTTTTGGAGCACTTGATAACTAGAAAAGTTTGTCATTGGGACGCTACTGTGAGAGATCTCTCGTCGAAGGTGTGTGATTATTTTCTTCTAAGCTGAAGTTTCCGCATTTTTTCCCCGGTTTTCATTGAATTTTTATTTTTTCTAGGCTCTTTATAGCATCGGAAAGTTGGACATTCCGTTTTTGCTTGATGTAGCGTGGCCAACGTTGATCAAGGGCCTGGATTCAACCGAAATAAATGTCAAACATGGTTCTCTTCTTTCTCTCGGGGAATCGGTTCGAGCTGTTGCCGAAGTTTCCGCACAAAACGAAGGCTCTCTAATGGACTTGTTGGGTATGAATTTGTTCGTATTACTCTACTTCCAGCGAGAGTCTTAAGGTTCCCGATATTTTCGATTGGATGGAATTGATGAATGCGTTTAAAGAATCTATTTTACTGGATTTAGGAGAAGAACGAGTGAAGTTCCTTGAGACCGTTGTCGATCGGCTGGAGGAAAAACGGGCCTATCGACTCATGGGTGCCGTCCTGATGCGAGAAGCCACTTCGGCTTTCATTCAAAAGTGTTCAGATTGTTATTTACCTCTTTCCTCTACCGACCGAAAAGGTATGTGGTTAGATTCAGTCCATTTCATCGCCCGCAATAAAATGCAGTTGTACATTGATAACTCTAACGTCTCTTCGTCGAATATTTGAGAGTTCCTGTCTGAATTCCCTTAAGAACAGTACATTAAAAACCTCTTTATTTCAAAGGCTTTCCTTCTTAAAATTCCAAAAATCAAATTTTCCGGTCCTTTCGGCTATTTCATTGGCACAAAAAGGGAAAAGCAATACAAATTAAACTTGATGTGCTTTGAAGGGAAGTGAAAGACTAATTTTGCAAATGGACCCTTGCCTTCAACCTTAACATCCATTCAACTCATTCAAGAAGCAATTCAAGACTCAGAATATCACCAATTCCGATCTCCCTAACTTGAAAATTCTGTAACTAGAATTGTTTCCCTTGTCATTCGAAGTTCAACTGAAAAGAGGCTCGACCTGTATTGTATTCGTTTTTTTTTTTTTTTATATCCAGAAAACTGGCTGAGGCACTTGTATGGTAACCTGTCGCAGATGGAAGAACCCGTTAGGGATGCCGCAGCATCTGCGTTGTCCGCTTTCTGTCGAGTCTACGTTGCTGGGGGCGGATGGAAAACTTGTAACGAAATATTAACTCATTGTCTGCATCAGGCCTTATCTGCAAAAAGTCTGGAAACACGAATGGGATTCTTTACAGCCATCGGTAAGCCACAGATTGGTGTATGTTTAATTTTTACCGGAAAGGTTTCCGTCTCTGTGAAGCACGTACGCATGGAAATGGCAATTTTTCTGGTCTTGAATATTTTGAAAAATCGTTTCGACTTGAATAGAATTCGTCCGGTTTTCGTGATACTGTTGATTTTCTTTCTTCGTGCAATCGAATCGCAAAAGAAAATAACTCTCGAGATTAGATTAATTTTCTGGCGCAAATAAAGTGAACAGGAGCAGAAGCTGCTCGGAATATCTCCACTAGTTCCTTGAACAAGTATACGACTGAAGCTGATTTTCATCCCCGAAACATATTTTCGTGGCAAATGATTTTTCGAATCGAGGATTTTATCGTACTTGCGATACCCACCTGAATTAATCTGACTCGTTCCGCTGCAGGTTATTTCGGGATCGAAATGCTGCCTGAAGAGAGTCTGCTGTTGGTTTACTCGTCTTTGTGCACAAGTTTCGCTGTGAAAGAGGATAGTCAGTTTGATCCTGCAATGACTTGCGCAAGGCGTGATGCTGTCGATGCGTGTAGGAAGCTTATCCGAAGCATTGGTGTTCACGGAAAGGTTTCCGTCTCTGTGAAGCACGTACGCATGGAAATGGCAATTTTTCTGGTCTTGAATATTTTGAAAAATCGTTTCGACTTGAATAGAATTCGTCCGGTTTTCGTGATACTGTTGATTTTCTTTCTTCGTGCAATCGAATCGCAAAAGAAAATAACTCTCGAGATTAGATTAATTTTCTGGCGCAAATAAAGTGAACAGGAGCAGAAGCTGCTAGGAATATCTCCACAAGTTCCTTGAACAAGTATACGACTGAAGCTGATTTTCATCCCCGAAACATATTTTCGTGGCAAATGATTTTTCGAATCCAGGATTTTATCGTACTTGCGATATCCACCTGAATTAATCTGACTCGTTCCGCTGCAGGTTATTTCGGGATCGAAATGCTGCCTGAAGAGAGTCTGCTCAACCAAATGAGCAGAAACACGTGTTCAAAGCGACACTTTCTCCTATCAGTCAAACTAGGACGTTACTGAACGCGTTCCGCACTACGACAGCTACGCACATCCTTCGAATAGGCTTCGTAACCACAAGCTGATGATCATACCATGAAAGTACTCTTTGAATCCTTCGTGGCTGCATTGAAGGATTATTCCGTCGACAAAACCGGTGACATTGGATCTTGGGTTCGACAAGCTGCTGTCGATGCAATTTTAGTGAGGAATTTTTTTTCTCCATTTTGAAGGATGCAAAATTTTGTTGTACTGTATAGTAAAATATCGTTACAAGGGGACTTCGAAAAAAACGTCTTCTACCGAATAATTCGTTACGACGAAATTTTCAAAAGTAATGAATTTAAAAATTTTCACGTCAGATCTACCAAAAATAATTGAATCTTGCTTTTCTGGCTTTGTCTGCTTGTTTATTATTGTTTAAAAAACTGTCAATCTCATTTGGGATCAGAAATTTCAGACTGTGCATGCCTTTGGCGGGAAATTTCGAGGAGAATCTATTGAACATTCCTCAAAAAAGTTTGTTTCACTGAAATTCGGGAGTCCGTTATGAATAAATTTTTTATCATTTACGCCACAGGGCTTCTGTCAGGAATTCAGAAAAAGTTTGTTAATGCTGAAAAATGTGTTGTAACAAGATTTAAATTTATTTGTTTGCTCGTCGCAGGTATTGGTCGAGTATGCAATCAATCACAAGAAATTGGCGGTTGCTACGAAAGAACTGGGCATTGAATTGCTTGCTGGGTTGGCGAAACAAGCATGCGAAAGAATAGATAAGCTGAGGGCGAAGGCAGCTGCAAATTTCATCAAGTTGGTTCAGAGGTTGGTGAAGCATTCTGGTTTTTAACATTTAAAAACTAGGTGTTCCGATTGTGTTTTCGCTTCGCCTTGTAGTGAATTTCCAATGAACGGGACACGACTACTTAACGCCTTCTTCAAGGGACGACTTCGGCTTGTTCTGACCCAAAACTTAGCTTAAGCTGGGCTTAAGTAACTCGAGAATCTAATGGGCGTCAAGGCTTCTTCACAAGACTCGGGACTCGTGATCTGCATCCTGGACGTGGGGCAAACTTCGGTATGAAAAACAGCGTGGAAAAATCGACTGTAGCAATTTTGAAAGATTTTTGTTGATTTCAAATTGCTGCTCATTTAGTGTTGCATTGTAATTAAATTTAGATTATCTCTCCAAATATGGATAGATCTGATCAGAACAGTGAGTCCCCATATTACAAAATGCTTGTACAACGAAAAAATCGCATTTCGAAATTTTTTGGGATGAAGCGAGTGGCTCTCATGACGAACTTGTTCAACATTAACGCAAATTTCAGCTGAAAAATATGCCAACATTTTAATCAAATTTTCTTCGAAACTTAGAAATTAATGAAAACCTTTGAGGGAAATGATGAAGAATTGTTCAGTTTTGCTTCTTCTTGTCTTTGAAATGCAGAAATGTAAGAGCTCGAACTTTTCAGAATTAGAATACTCTACTCTACTTCACTTTCGTGCCAAATCAATTTTAAATTCACTGTTCATGCTGATGAGCACACGACATTTATGGTTTATCATGGTCTTTCTGATGAGTTTTTGGAGCTGATGGGATTATTTTCCATGTAATCTTGTGGGTAAAATGCGTTTCGCATTACGAGACGAATCTAAGAACATATTAGTTTCTTTATGCGGGGACTCATCATTTCAATGATTTGTTCTGTTCTATACTTCTATTTTCTTGATAATTAGAATGAGGTTGAAGTAAACTGGCTGTTTTTCGATTCAGGTGTACTTGATATTGATTTTTTTGCGTTTTCACAGTCCCAGCAAGCAACAGAGGCCTTGTTGAATTATCTCCAGAAGGAGGAGATTGCTGTAAAAATTTTTGAATCTCTGCTTGAAATTCACGAGCAAAGCGTGTCGATGAACGACGAACGTCTGAATCCGGCAATCATTATCACATGGAATAAACTGATTCCCTCCGGTGCATTCGATGAGTCAATCGTCTCGCAAGCCAAGTGTCCTTATGGAATCCGTTTGTGCGCAGCTTTAAAATCCTCTCTAACGGGGAAGAAAATTGTTCCCGTCCCGAAAATCGTTGCCGGGGTCGAACTGTGGTGTTGCTATGGAAATATAAATGGCCTTAGGCCCGGCCAAAGACGGGGGTGCAAACCCGAAGTTCTGGGAAGCTACGTTCGTGTTGAACGAGTTCAATGTCGTGAGGAAATGGCTGATGCAACATCACGCCGAGGTACGATTGTGTCTCGAAAGCATTTTGAAATTTATTCTATTTTCATAATTTTTCTCTTATTTGCTTTTGTGCGTTCTTGTTGTTTGAAGCTTATCCTGTCGGAACACAGCAGTCCGAGGGCTTTGGCGCAGATCCTGAGTCAGATGATGAATTTTCAGGAGTCTTGTCTCGGTGCTGGAGCTACTGGGAAATTTGGAATGACTCGAATTCCCGTGAGACCTTTTCGATGGTTTATTGTAATAAAAATGTCGTGGTTGTGATTTGTCAAAGTCTTGCGAATAGCTGACAATCCGTCGTTAAAATTCGAAAAAAAACAAGACCACCCGTTTTTATCATTCTTTTCTGCCCGCAAAATATTTCCTTCCATTTTGACTAATGAAACATGAATAAGAATTCGATGTGTGAACCAGTTCCATGGGAAAGTACTCAAAGTTGTACAGTTTAAATGCTACGACGGTTGCTAGATTATTTCTTAATCTGAGGTCGTGAGTTATTTTTGTAGATTTTCTCGAAGAGTGCGACCAAAAATGCTGTTAGACTATTACAGTTAAACTTGTTTAAGTAGAACTTCGAGGAACTAGGAAAATAATTTGTGTTGAGGAGGTTTCGAGTTGTTGAGGTTCAACTTAATTTACTGAAATGTGGTGTTCGTGAATTGAGCTGTTACAGTATAACCAGTTTTCAGCTTCCTTGTGAAAATTTGTTGGTGAGAAGAATGACTTTCAGAAACTATCGGTTGCTCAAAAAATAATAAAATATTGTGAGCCGAACTTTGTGTTCCCAACTCCATCGCCGTATTTTCATGTTTACATATCTTTGTGCTGCCATAAATTGCTGTACGATTTGTTTTTAATTCTAGATTCCTTTTGTCGGGTTCATAATTTGTTGGCTTTCACTTCAGTTTTAGAAGCTGTATCTGATGAACTTATCTATTTTCACATTCGTTGCTCATGCTTTTTCTAGACTCAAGTATTTATCGACTTGTCACCCGGTGGAGGAGCTTGCAAGATTCTTGCCTCCGCATTCAAGCACAAGCATTCAAAGGGTTTGAGAAGATTCGATTTTCACGCGCCGAAGTCACAGGATCGGAATATCGAGCTGCTCAAAGAAATTGAGCAGGAATTGTTGTCGCTGGATGCTTTGTACGTGCGAGCTGTCTACATTTCAGACTCGGTGGATGATCAAATGAGAATAGCCGTGACGGAAGCCGTGGAGAAATTGCAGGGTTACATCGCGTTTTCATCCGAGGAAGCTACCCACGTGGTGCACAAACCTCTCGACTCTGCGAAAAAGGATGTGAAGTCGAAGTTGAAAGCCATACCAATATTTAAGCGTGGAAAGGGTGAGTTCCAGTGTTGTTTTACTAAATATGAAGTAATCTCAGTCATCGAAAAAGTGGCGAAGTGGTTGAATGGATCGTATTTTCCAGAAAAATATGCTACGTTAAAGTTAGCTCCGTACCTTAAAAATAAGAAAATCGCATTCAAGACTCGTGAAGTTTATTCCGAATGAAGTCTAAATAAGAATTTTTTGAATGGACCGTTATTGAACATGCATGATTTTATCTGATGAGTCAGAACTATGATCATCACGAACAATCAAATGTGAAAATCAAAGATTTTAAACAGCATTAGTTCTTTGTCAAACGCAATCCTAGAACGTAGATCCCCGCAAAAATATCAATGTTTAATACTATTTTTGGGGAAGCACCATAGCGTGAACCTGTTACGAGATGAGAGTCTAGTCGGAAGTAAAATAATTACGGTACTTAATTTTAAAATGTAAACAAAAATGTATCCAAAATTCAATTACAAATTTTAAAAAGCACGAAAATGCAAAGAAAATTCGAAAAACAATTCATTAGAACATTAAAAAACAAAAATGAGAAGAAAATTCAAACAAAAATTTAAATAAGATGTAATTAAAGTTTTCAATCAAAGAAATAATTATTTGTCGAATACAGTTCTATAATGTTCCGATTAGATGGGAGTTTAGTTGGAGGTCCGTTTGATTTTCGTTGTCTAAGCTCAACTAAAATGTTCTCTTTTTGTAAGTGTTGATTGAAATGGTTGAATTAACCTTTTGCAGGAAAAAATAATGTGTTGCTGCACTGGAAAGGACATCCTCCGAGTCGTGACTCGTGGATTACCTGCAAATCTCCGAGCATAAATGCGTATATCGTGGATTACAAGCCATCAGTGTACCATGTATCAGCTACTTGGGTTTTGGAATCTGAACAATGGAATGAGTGGATGAATGAAGAGGATTATGAGGTGGCCGAAGATGGATCAAAAAGACCCGATGTGAGATCTTCGTTCTCATTTTATAGAAATCTAGACTAAATAAGTATTCTTCAATATTTTGAAATTTCTATTGTATTTTCGTGTTCGATATTATGTACATCTTCATTTTATTTCTCTGGCATGCGCTAATATATTATCGTTTATCTACAGTATATAGATAATTATTAAGATATTATTTTAAACTGATATTCTCTTCTAATTTTCCGCTTGACAGAGGTTTATGACACCGGAGCAAATAAGTAATTTGGTGGATGCTGGAAAACCGAAAAAGCGGGAAGAAGTCGACGAAGAATCACCAGCTCCTGCTAAGAAGCAAAGGAAGAATCAGAAGAGCAAACGTGGGACTTTGGTGCCGGGACAACTTTCTGCATTACTCGAGTCTTCAGAGACATTCGACGCGACACAGTCAAGCACCGTTGATCATGTCGATGCCCCCGAGGTTTGTTCCTTTGAATAAGAATTACATCTTGATTAATTACGTTTCATTGAATAAAATGCCCTCCTGCCAAAATAAACGGCCTTGTTCGTTGACTACTGTGCGTCTAGGCTAGGCTTCTCTGTTTCGCTTCGTCTTTTAAAATCCGGGGTTCAAAAATTGAATGTTGACGAAGACGAAATGCATCCAGTATTTATTGAAGAACAGTGTAGTACATTTTGATAATAATTTTTGGGTTTCATGAAGATCCGAGGATTTTTATGAATTTTTCCTAATACGTCTGCAGAAGGTTACGTGTGGGGGGTTTTTTTAATGCCTGTATTTTTGCTGAGTTCCACAAAAATTAATTTTACGCTTGTGATTCCTAAAGCTCATGAATCGGTTATAACTTTCTCGGCTGCATTGTTCTTTTGTTCTACTCATTTTCGTGTGAAATGTAATGTAATCCTGTACAGTACAGTTGAACCTCTTCAAGTCGAATTTTAAGGGACTACTAAGAAAATCAAGTTAGAGAGGTTTTGAGTTGGAAAAACAATCATTTGTGTTGGGTGGAAATTAAGGAAAATTGCGGGAACTTGGAATTGGTGATATTCTGGGCCTTGAATTGCTTT